CAGGTGTATCAGCTAAATTTGTAACTTAAAATAGAACAAAATAAAACAAAAACAACTTCTCCACCATCAACTCTTGTCAGACCTGATCTTGGTTTATTTTTGAATACTTCATTAATGATCTTGTAGCAGTCATTCCATTGCATAGCTTTGGATCAATGTCAACTTGACAGGCCTATAATTAAGTGGGTCAGCTTGACTACCATTTTCAAATTGGTGCAACATTTGCTGCTTTCCAGTCCTTTAGAGCTTTTCCAATATTTAAAGAATTGCTAAAATCAAAATGAATAGTCTTGGGAGTTCAGCCAGGTCTTAACTTTTGGATGCAAGTTACCTGGGTCTGTTGCTTGAAAAATGTCTAGTTTTGCTAGCTGCTGTTTAATGTCCTTAGTTAAAGTTGGAATTAAAAGTTTTCATGTCATGCAATGATGATGAAATACATCTGGAGTCTTTCGAAGTCCAGAGCAGCAATACTTGTCTAAATACATATGACTTCTACATTAGCAATCCTGCTATTTCTGTTGGTTTCAGTAATCTGATCCCATAGTTAGGGGCCTGATTTTTTTCCAAAGGGCTAGTGCTAAGTGTCTCATAAAAAATACCTTCTCATCTTGGGGGTTTTAAAAAAACTGAGGCCCCTGCTGCCATTTTTCAGCACAGACACTAATACATGAGGTGCTCCGGGTGCTTTCATTAGATGTTCAGCCATGACTGGCACCGAAGCTCCAGACAGAAGTGGGAGTTCGGGCATATTCTGTGCTTAGTATTTCTTATTGGCCAGTTCCTGGCATCTCCCTGCTCAGTATCCAGGATTTTGTGAACTGCCCTTTGAAACTGCTTGACTTTCTGTTGAAAGTATATGCAACTTCACTCAGTTTCCTTGAATCACCTAGTTCCCAAAAGAGTTTTTGGACACTAGATGATGGGAAAGTTTGTAGGGTTGGCAGGCTCTACATACCCACAGATGTGCCAAATTTGTTCCAAGCATCCCCATTCATGATTTCACCCTTTTGTGCACGAAGGGAAGGGTGTGTGATTTGAGTTGGGGAACATTAAGATATCTGGTACCAATTACTGGTAAATTATGGAAATACAATGTTTATAGCAGACACTAATCCTCAAAGGATTTTTCCTCATTTATCTCTCTGGTAAAGTAAGGTTACCCTAAAATAAAAGGTGTACCTCAAGCTATTTCTGGGTTTCACATGAAGTCTCTGTCTGAAATAAATATCACAGTGGGGTCCCAATCTTTACAGAGGGGCACTGAGTGATAACACACCATAAATTATATTTATGCAGCCTCAGTCTGTTGTAACTAATATCATATTAATATAATTTCATGAAGTCTAAAGGACAATTTATATGCTTACATTTGAGTATACGCTTATGCAACCTTCTGGATTATGACCATAATGAGTCACAATGAGCCATCTGGGTATTTATTTTTCATGTTCTACACTGCCATGCAAGAGAACCACATTTAGCCACTGAAGTTGGTATCTATTCTTTGGTGCTGGCAGGGACCAGGAACAACGTGGGACTCCCTTCCATCTCCTCCTCCAGTATGTCCACAGGAGAAAATGGAAGGTGCTTGTAAAGGTGGCTAAGTCTCCAAGACAGTCAAGTCCAATATCCTAGTTGAATCTGAAAATGTGTGAAACAAATTGATTTAAATCTTTTTAACACATTGACCATATAGTTGCCATAATTATATTAGGTAATGGCCATTTCTGAGTATTGAGAGTTGCGATAAATTAACCTAGAAGGGCCTTGTTACACATTAATTTTAGGCAGCTCAGGAAACTCTTAACCCCAGGATTGTTCACACATTAAGATGTGTAAACTAGTTTTAAGTACCCTTTAGGTATTTTAAACCTCCAGGGTAGGTTTATCTTTGATCCATGTTGCCCAGCTTGGATTCCACGAATATGTGTCCACTCCCCAGAGATAAGCTGCCCAAGTTTCAGTCTAGCATCCCAGGGTGCAGTGTTCCCTCCTTCCAGCCTCCTGTTCTTCATGGACAAACTTTCCACCCCCTGAACTCTACTGTCCAGGGGGTGGTACTGGTACCAAACCAAACCAACTGGTACCATACCAACTCCCTCTCCCATCTCAGGCAGCTCACAGGACCACAGACCAGTTCAGAAGGGAGGGCTAGCAGGGGTGCAGGGGGAAGCAAGGTAGAGGGCCAAATCAGGGGCCTTCTGAACTGGAGCTTCCTTCCTGGGGCAGAGGCAGTGTCCCCATGAGCTGGGGCTACCCACTCCCAATCTCAATTAATTCAAACACGTGACTTTCTTTAATTTACTTTTTATTTCTTTTTTTAAATTCTTTTTTTTTTCTTTCTGTTTTTACTTCTTTTCATTTTATCCTTTAGTGGCTTCAGTGGCTGACTTCATTTCACCACCCAGCCCCCAACTGCTGTTCCCACCCATTGCCTCTCCACCTCCCATTTCGCTACCCAGTCCTCATTAAACTCTCCCTCTTCCAGCCTCGTGCTCCTGCCCCCACCAGCCTCTCTCTCCAACCCATCCTACCTAGAGCAGAGCTAGAAGCCTGTCCTGGCTCACTGGCCTTCTAGTACCAAGTCACAGCTGTGCAGATCGGGGACAGTCAGAGAAGGTTTTTAACATGAACGTGTGACTCCTCCAGACTTGAGCCAACACTAACACTGATCAACATTTGAGAAGCTTTAAGTGTAATATGTAACAAAGCCCTTAGTAATGGAATGATGGAGTCATACAGTAAGTTCATTCTACGTCCGTATAGAGCCGCTTGGGAAGACCCATGACCAGTGAAAGCCAGTATTATTGTCTGAGTGAGATTTATTTTTATTTAAACTGAAGGGCCTGGAAAGTTAACATTGACTTGGTAGAAAGATCATGTATTTGCCCCAGCAAGGTCCCACTCAGTCTTTGCATTATTGACACAGCTGTATACTTTGGAATATGCATTTGAAACACATTAAAAATGGGTGGTTATTTGTGGGGAGTGGAATAATATGGATCATGATAATTTAATTGTGTCTTGTTGTGGAAGGACTAAAATTTCTATTATGTTATAATGCCTAGAACTGGTAGGTGGCACTTAGTTTGGTGTAACAGCAAAGGTAGAGGACTGCAAGCTCTGGATTGAGCTGTGACCAGAAAAACACAGCTCCTAGCACGTAACAGGGCTTCTTTTCCTACCCAGCACAAATCTCTTCTCCAGTGCTGCAGCCCTCTGCTACATTACTTCTTGCTAATGAAACATCCATCTCACATAATCTGATTTGATAGTTTTGTTCATCTTATTAGTGCACAGCACATTCTGGTTTTAATTTGGTTAATGAACCTCACTATAGGAAGCTTTGCTAATTCCTATTTATAGTACCTTGCTTGGGAAAGTAATGACTGGGGTCAGGTTTTTAAGGGTATTCAAGTGCCTACTTCTCATGGATTTAGGCACCTAAATACTTAAAAAAAACCCAACCCAATCTAACCCCCTGAGCTCTTGATTCTGCAGTGTGAGCCCTACAGGTAGACCCTTTGTTCATGCAGCACTTTGACATGAGTGGGACCCGCAGTAGGTGGACTTTCATTTCCATTCATTGTACCAATGAAGTTAGTGGGCCTCTGCCTAAAGGTAGGGGACCACTTGCTTTGATCAGCTGGCAGGATTATGGCTTTTTCATTTACACTTGCTATTTTAGCCATTTCAGATTCAGCCCTGCATTCCTTGCATATCCTAATCATAATGAACTTATTGTTAACTTAAGGTCCAATTAAAAGAAGCATTCAGTGTTGGGTGGCCAGGGGTACTGACTGATTTTTTTTCAAAATCCCACTGTTAATGATGAGATTCCTTAACAGGAACTGACCTCTCTTGAAAACCTGGCATTGATTATGGGTGGGGAGTATTTGAAAACATGGCCCTCTGTGTCTGCAGTGTGGTTTTCAATGTGTTGCCCTTTTCCCAATGAACATACTTTCTGGAGTAACATTTTCAAAAGTGCTTAAGTGATTTAGGAGTCTAAATCTTATAGTAAGTCAGTGGGACTTATATGGTAAATTCATTCAGCTCTTTTAGAAAATTTTACCCAAATACAGAATCTCAAAGGGAGTCTTGATTGCATTACAAATACAAATCTATGCCATTCATTATGTAAACTAGTAAATGTCTAAAACTGCTTATAAAAAGATATCTGATCCTGTATTTCCAGGGTCTGAATAATAGCCGGACTTCTCTTTTTAAAATGCCTGTTTCATAGGTGTCCTAATTCAATGTCCGGTATATTTAGATTTGTTTAATAGTTACAGTTAGAGCTCCTAGGTGATACTCTAAATATTGTACATTATCTAGACATAGGTTGAAGAGACTGAAAGAATGTAACCATTGGAACAAATTGGATTTTTTTTAACCTTTGTGGTGAACTAAATTTATCTGTAGTTTTATCCTTTGAATTGCCAAACACTGTGCGTCAAAATCTGACCTAAGTTAGTGTCGCAAATCAGTCTTGCTTCAATGAGCTTTGCATTTCCACTAGAAATGAAATCAGCATCTCATTAGGTCTTGCATCTTTGTAGTTGCACATACGTGCCATTATCTGTTCAAACTAATTTTGTACCAGATTTACAAGAGCAACGAGTTGCTTAATAGTATTTGAATCATATCAGGTTCTAAAACCATCTTCATTAAGATAAACAAGATGAGGGAAAACCATTTCATGCTAATTATTTTGGATAGGATTTGAGACTCTACATTAATGAGAGATAATAATTTGAACATATTTTTGGATCTTTTCCTGTCTTTAGGAATAATGAGCTTTATTATTTAGGCTGTGCTGCATTTAGACTATTAAACTGCCTTAATTAGCAATTTTGCACTTTTCGTTTTTAGGGCACGGAGATTTTAAAGGTTCTTAAGGGGAGTTGTGTGCAAGACATGTTCCGCGGCCTTAAAAAAATGTTATTCTTTTCAAACCTCGGTTATGCATAAATGCTGTTGTTTACTCTGCCCGACAGATAACAGAAGACGTTTCAAAATAAGAGCTACAGAACTGTACTGACCAGTACAATATTATAAAAAAGAATCACATACATCAAGAATGCAGTGACTAATTACATACTGTACATCATGGACTGCACTGATGGATGGCCTGTCCTCTTGCATATGCAGTACTTTAACTTCCAGTGGCATAAAACCATTTTATGTGTTGTGATTTCTGTGATTTCTAACAAGTGCATTATGTAGAAGGGAACATCTTTTCATCTGGAAGATTATCTTCAAATCATGTGCAATATAATGAGACTGAACAAAGCCAGGAAACACAGGAGGGAGGTGGAAACCATTTGGACAGAATTTCAGTCTTTTAAAAATATCTCTTGAAAGATTAAGCATCCAGAAAGGAAACGTTAAACAGAGCTGCTAATAACTGGTTCAAATGTTTGGTTGTTACAAAGAAAAACAATTAACTGCTCTCACTTTCATTTCAAATGACTTCTACCGGCTGTCTTCAGCAGCAAGAAATGAATGAGTTGTGTTCTATTTTTCTGACTTTTTTCTGTAAAAATGTCCTTTATAGATATGTTCTGTACCAAAGGCTTTTCAACATATCTTCACCCTAATCGCACACAGAAAGAACACATCTCCACTGATGCTGAAGAGGATAGCGTTACACAGTCAGCTAACAAGTTGTGCCTTGCTTTAAAAAGCAACTATGTGCATTCAGTTAAAAAGGGAACAGTTTTCAGGCAGAGCTCTGTGGCAGCGAGGCCTGACGAACGATGACTTTGGCATCAACCAGAACTCTCCATTTCACAAAAGTCCATGCTCCTTCCTGTATGGTATGTGTTACTTCATCAAGAGCAAATATTATAGTATTTGTCTTTAATACTATAATAAAAAGGAGTACATAATTCATTTGACAGTCGCTGTTTTATTTTACACGTGTATGTTGTTTTACCATAACTACCCAATCCACCCGGTTGAAAAAACGAATCAGCTATTTCTCACTTTGGCGGCAACACAGAACCTCGTTCATTTGCTGTTATGCCTGAGAGACATATTGCCAGGGAAGCATATTTTCAGTCACTGAACGTTGTCTGTTAACAAACAGATGAGCAATTGCAATTGCTATGAGAGTACATCAAAGTCTACTTGGTTCATTGTCGTGACAGTTTTAGTTCTGTTTTAATTATGATACTTTATTTTATGCTCATGTGTTTGCTAATGAATATAAAGGACAAGATCTTAGTCTGTGACCGAGGAGCAGATGGTGGAGGTTGGGGCTGTGTGCATGCTGTGTGAACCTTACCTTTACCTCCCACTGTCTCCAGTTCTGGCTTTATGTCAGCTTGGTCCCCTGACTTCATTTATGCTGATTGCTAATGTCTCCAGACAGCCAGCTGGGAATTGGTAGAGTACAGGGAAGCCCTGAGTACATGATTATACCAGCTTCCCCTCCGTGCTGGAAGCAGGGTAAAGGCTGGCAGAAGTGCTGCTAAACTGGTTCTAAACCACCGGAGAATTTATCCACACTGGATGTACAAGCTCAAGGCTTTAGGGCCTGCATGCTGCACCTCAAAGTTTCATCCAAAAAATTCTTAGTTGCTTTCAACGTCACTTGAACACTCTCTGCCCTGAAACCTTTGCTCCAAAGTGTTGTAAGACTGCTGATTTGGAGGTGTGCATGTGAGCGAGGTTCGAATAGTGTCACTGCTTGAGGTGGGAGAGGGGAGTAAAAGGCTTATTTTTTTCATTTGCTATCCTTCCTTTTTCTTCATCCCAGACCCACTGTGTATTAAACAAAGGATTATTTTTTGATCTATAAAAACAGACTTGGAGATGCAAAAAGTGGCTGAGCTAGCTGATCATCTATATCCTATCCAAATGGGAGCTACCTATATTTTTTGTGATAGGCCTTATAAAAAAACCAAAACTAATTGCCAAGGGACATAATGCCTGACTGCTGTTCTAAAAGCTCTCTCCTATCCATGTTTTAATTTGAAACACCCATAAACCTGCATAGCTCCATACAACACTCGGCTTCCATCAGTGCTTCATTTCCTTTGTGCTCAGAAGTGTACCAAATACGTGCAGATACCCCTGCAAATCCTTAGTAGGAGGATTAGGGTTATGTTATGTGTTCACTGGCTTTGGATTGTTGTGCAAAAATAAATCAATACACCCAGGGCTGGATCCAGAGCCTGTTGCAGGTGACAGGTTTTGGAGTAAGTTTGGCCTTGCATTACTTCGTTTATTTTTTAACTACATCACATCAGCTGTTTTTCAGAGCCTGGCTCTAATTAAAGTTTGGACTGGCCAAGACTGAGTTGGCTCTATCTGCAGTGGACAAAACAGAAGCAACAGCAGAGCCACCACTGTCTGAAGAAGAACTTAATCCACCCAAAGTCAACAGCAGCAGGAGGAGTGGACTGTCTGTTGGGCTGTTCTCTTAGGGGTCAGTATTCCAAGAACATTTTCAATGCAACAGCTGAATGGTACAGACAAGAAAACAAATGAGGACTGTTCTAGCGTACAGCTGGATGGAAAAACACTTGTCATTGCCAGCATTGTGTCTAATGGTAAAATGTGCTTGGAACTGAAATCTTCGTGTGCTGTATGATCCACCAGGATCCTGGACGTTAGGTATTGGGCCATGCAGAACTTTTTGGGAGAAATGCTTTAACATAGAGCCCCAGACTAGAAAGATATTACAACAATCCTATGCAGTATACAGGATCTTAACATTTTAGAGGGGATATTTCAGGCTAAAGAGCCAGCTTATTTGTGCTAGAAATTTGACAAGGAATCAAAATTTAAGTCAACATCTCCCATACCTTAGGTTTGGGCTGAATCAACTAGGACTTATTTGTAGTTCACAAAAAGAATCACCACTGTTTTCCATCTGTGTGATCTAGCTGTTGTATGAACCCTTGCAAGCACAAATGGTGTTGAATTTAAGATGTATAAAATTACATGTTCGGGGTGGGGAATGCTAATTTTCTTAAACAAGCACTCTCTACGTTGCTTGGGTCAAAAAATGCATGTACTTATGTTTGGGTCTTTTTTTCCCCTTTTTTTTCGCTAATCATGAACAGTTTTTTCAGCTTGAACTCTCTCCCTCCCACAAAGACACATTCTTGTGAGTGATGGCAGACTGGAGGCCCATATCTTGTGAGCATCATCTATGAAGGCAGGTTTTCAGAGGTGTGAAGATACAAGGAGCTGGAACTAGAAGTTTGCTTAGGTAATAGTACGGGGGAGCTGGTGAAAAGTGAGCGAACATTAAGAAGTCAGGAGCATAAAGGAAGTGGAAAAGCTAATATCTGGTGTCTAAGTGGGACCTGCAGAGTGAAATCTCTTTTTTCTGAGGTCAAGCTAGGGTGCTGGGGCTTCATGGGGTGGCTAGAACATGGGCAATCACCCTGGACTTGACTCTAAAGATTCATGGGCAGACAATGTCAGGAAGCAAGGGTCCCAGCAAAGACACAACAGGATCAGAAGCAGACAAGATCTGTGTGAGAGCTGGGGTGGCTGGACATGGCAGAATAGGAATGGAACATGTGGAACATAATAAAATGGAAAAAAGGAGGAGGAAAGTTTGAAAAATGATTGGCCTTATTGTCTACCACCTTGAACCTTGTAGAGTCCTTGCAAGTGTTTTAAAATGGGTTCAAAACACTTTCAAACCACGTAAATGACTCTACAACATTTAAAGGAATTGAGAATGGGGCATTTTTGTGTGAATAAGGGAAAAACGAATGTGTGCGCTCAACCTGTCTAGGCAGTCACTTGTACATGATTACCAACCTGCAGAAACAGAGGAAAAACAGTGGGGAAAGAGG